AAAACAAACAGGGCACCTGGCTGGCTCAGTCAGTAGAGCATGTGACTCTTGATCTCAGGGTTGTAAATTTGAGCCCCATGTTGGGTATAGAGGTTAAAAGAAAAAAAATCTTAAAAAAAAAAAGAACCAAGCAAGAATACCTAGGAAGACACTGAAAAATAACAACCATGAGAAGGAACTAGACGTTCCAGACATTAAAGCTTATTATAAAGCTTCTTATAATTTAAACACTGTGGTATGGTACATGAACAAATAAATCAGCAGAATAAAAAGCTCAGAATTGTCAATATATGACAAAGGTGACATCTCAAATTCCTAGAGCCAAGATGTACTTTTTGTATAAATAATGCCGGGTCAATATGGAAAAAATAAAAGATTTTAAGCTCACCCAACACATACAAAAATCAGTTTCACATGGACTGTAGATCTAAATATAGATCTATAGGTACATACTAAAACCAAAAACCAAAACCAAAACCAGCTTGTAGAAGAAATCATAGAATGTCTTGCCTTCTGGATGGCAAATATTTCTGGGGCGCCTGGGTGACTCAGTCGTTAAACATCTGCCTTCGGCTCAGGTCATGATCCCGGGGTCCTCTGCTCAGCGGGAAGCCTGCCTCTCCCTCCCCTACTCCCCCACTCCCCCTGCTTGTGTTCCCTTTCTCACTGTCTCTCTCCATCAAATAAATAAATCTTTAAAAAAAATAGTGGGTGGCAAATATTTCTTACACAGGAACAGAAGAGTGCTGTCCATAAAATTAAAATTAGGAACTCATTTCAATAATAATGCTGGGTCAATATGGAAAAAATAAAACTAACAGCTCACACAATACATACAAAAATCAATTTCACATGGACTGTAGATCTAGATATAGATCTACAGGTATATACTAAAACCAAAATCCAGAACCAAAACCGACTTGTAGAAGAAACCATACAATGTCTTCTTGCCTTCTGGGTGGCAAATATTTCTTAAACAGGAACAGAAGAGTGCTGTCCACAAAATTAAAATTAGGAACTCATTTCAACCAAAAGCACCATTTAAAACACTGGAGACAAGCCACAGAATGGGAGAAAACATGCAAAACATCCATCCAGAGGGCTCATAATGGAATATGTAAATCACAGTAAGAAAAAGGCAGGCAACTTTAGTATCTTTTCCAACTCTATAAAATAGCTTGTTGGGAAACAAATTTGCACAACCACTTTGGAAATTTGGCATCATCTACAAAATGAACATATGCACCCCATATGACCCAGCAATTTCAGTCCAGGGTATACACCCAAGAGAAATACATGCACTTGTGCACTATCAGAAATGTTAAAGGATGTCCATAGCAGCATTATTCACAATAGCCCCCAACTGAAAAGTGAAATGTCAAGCGACACAAACTGCTTAAATAATTGTGGAATAGTCAGACAGAACACACACAAAAATGTACTAGCTAGAGATACTCTAAATAATAAGGATCAATTTCACAGAAATAATGGGTCAAGTCAGACAAACACAAAAGAACATACTGTATGGTTCAGAGCTCAAAGACAAAAAAACCAAAAAACCCAAAACCCAAGCCATGTGGTCAGTCAGAATTCTGGTTCCCCATGCAGAGTAGGGCAGGATTTGTCGTGGGCATGAGGCAAAGAAGGGATGTCAGCTACGCTGGTAGGATTTCTTCTTGCCTGCTGATTACATGGATTTGTTCAAAGAATTAAGCTGTACATGTGTGAATTAAGCAGTTTTGTGTTTCAGTCAAACCTGTTTTAAACGGTAACACACACATCACTGCAGAAATGGTTTTGGCATCAATACTGTTAAGTTGAACGTGCACAGACCTTACACCAGCAATTCACACTCCTGGAATAACTCATGGACACTCTAGAAAGTATGCACACCATCTCTTTAAGTAGCAGCGTTTGTAACTGGGGAAAACGGAAACAACTAACTCTAAGTCATGTCTGGCAATATGAAAGGTACACTGCAGGGAACAAATGATCGCTGTCTGGAAGTGAAAATTACAGCTACATTCATCCATGTGCTTCTCAAACCTCCCCTACTACCACCAATCTGGCCCCCAGTGTATCTAACTGTAATTCTGCAACTACTTTCTAACAGGCTTGTTTGTACATTGCCCTTCCTTAGCCTGTCAACCTGGAAGCCAGTGATTCAAAGAGAAATTGGACAGTTGCCACCCTTCTGTTCAAATCCCTCCACCGACTTCCTACCACATGGAGAATAAAAGGCAAAGTCCTTCCAGTAAACCCACAAGATCGGGATCCTGACCCAGCTCTAGCCTCATCTTCTGTGAGTCCCAGGCTTGCTCCACTCTAGCCACACCGGCCCCTTGGCTACTGCACGGCGGTCCCAAGCAGTTTTCTTTTTCACGGCCTCTGAACTGCCAAGGGTGCGCTTCCCCAGAATACAATATGGCGCACTCAAAGTTCATGGACATCTCTGCTCAAATGCTCCCTTAAAGGCGGGCTTTCCCTGCCCACCCAACAGGTCTGCTGAATCCCTGCATACCCTCTCAGCAGCACCATGCTCAATTTTTCCTCCACTGTGTGTACCACCATTTGATATACAACATATTTATTTACTCATTTGTTCTTCAGGTGCCTTACCCTAAGCAGAACATAAGCACCATGAGGGCAAAAATCCCAATTCACTGTTATAGATGTAGGGCATAGACAGAACAGGACCTGACCTAAGAGAAGGGGGACTAAAATACAAGCACTACTGGGGCGCCTGGGTGGCTCAGTTGTTAAGTGTCTGCCTTCGGCTCAGGTCATGATCCCAGGGTCCTGGGATCAAGCCCCGCATCAGGCTCCCTGCTCGGCAGGAGGCCTGCTTCTCCCTCTCCCACTCCCCCTGCTTGTGTTCCTGCTCTCGCTATCTCTCTCTCTGTCAAATAAACAAATAAAATCTTTAAAAAAAAAATATGGGTTGACCTCAGACAAGCAACCTAAACTTGCTTGCCTTTGATTCTCCACATGCAAAAGGGAGATAGTGATGGTACTTGCTTCTTAGGGCTTTTGTAAAAACTGATACACTTACTTTAAGTCAAGAAAATAAATACTCATGTCAAAGACTTGAAATACAATTTTAAAACATGGCTTAAAGATGTAAAAAAAACCCATATCCAACGGTTAAAAGTATAAGCAGATTCTATCCACACACAAGGCAGTTATAAAACCTCACTAATGAACGAGTGTATGTATTACAGACGGCAACCACTTGGGAGTAGCAGAACCCTCCCCCAACCAAAAAATTATTAAACTGATCAACAACGAAATATCCAAAACCACTTACGCCAATAATGTTTTATTTTTTTCCTCCTGTGATAGGAAGGCTGGAAATAACAAATCCATGGCTAGTGTAGACAAAGAAGCTACTGGGGAGGCCGGGATCATTGCGACTTTTCTGCAGGATCCTCTTTAGCCTGCAGCTTGCATCCTCATGGTCACAAGATGGATCTTTGAACACTAGGTACCTGATCTCCTTGCAAGGTGAGAAGTAGGGCAAACAGCAAAAACAAAACACGTAGAAGAATCCAGGTAAGAATAATCCCTTTTCTAGCTCTTTCTCATCTGTTTATCGGTCAACGGCCAGGCTGAGACAAGGACTGTACTGGCTGCAGAAAACTGGTGAGAGACTTTTAAAAATAGCATATGTTAGTAATTGGACAAAAGCTGGATTTTCTTGACATGAAAGAGGAGACACTGGGAGAGCAATGAGATGTGTACGTCACTCTTGGTTGGACAGGAGACGAAGAACATTCCAGAGGATCCATCTAATGGAAGACACCGTGCGCTGAGCCAAGGCATTTGAATCAGACACTCGTAACAAACAGGTATTAAATATACCCACGTTACATGGTATTTTTAACACAATTCCAAATAGTCCACTGGTCCAGTAAGTTATCCAGAAGGAAATTAACACGTATCAGGAATGAAATTATAATAAAAATACTATATACAAACCTTGTGGGATGAAGCCTAAGCGTTAGAGGAGCAAAATCTTAAAAACAGAGACTACGAATTAATGAGTATGGGTCTGTTTTCATGATTAAAGACTGATAAATTTCATATTCACTAGAAAATTCCATCAGGGTATGAATTCTCATAAGCACAAGTGAGGGAGCTGTGGTTAAAATCATTTCCGCGTGGGGATTGTCTACAGTGTGGGTTCTCATGTTTCCTGAAAGAATTACACGGATTATATTTTTGAAGTTTTAAACAGAAACCTCTCCTAGCATGAGTAACATTTCACAAAAACTGAGGGGCTATCTCAGGCTAAGTTTCTCAACCTCAGCAATACTGACATTTTGGGCCACATACTTCTTTGCTGCGGGGGCTCCTGTGCGTCATGTGCCAGAAGCATCTCCCCCCACCCCCGAGCTTTAACAACTTAAAATGTCTCCGGACAAGCAAAATCACCCCCAGTTAGGAACTGCTGCTGTAGACCAAGCGGTGGGCAAGTTTTTCTGTAAAGGACCAGAAAGTAAGGATTTTAGGCTTTGTGAGTTGCATGTGGTGTATGTCACACATTTTTCTTCTTTAAAAACGGAACAACTATTCTTAGCTTGCAAGCCATAGAAAAATAGACAGTTGGCCAATTTGCTGACCTGTTACAGACCTTCCCACACTCCTACTTTACAGAATTTATCTCTTTAGTATGATTTCTTTCATGAAGAATACAGGGTGAGACCAGTAAAGGTTTGCCCAGAGAGTGAATTTACAGATTCTCCCTAGTGTGCTTACTCGTATGCCCACAAGGTGCCGGGTGGTGCTAAAGTCATTTTGACATTAAATACCAAGCTACGGTTTCTCTCCCTAGAGTTCTCCTTTCCTTTGAAGAGCTGAATGTACACTGATGGCTTCTGCACACCATAGGTATGTTTTTGCCCCCAGCGTGTTCTCACAAAGCCCCATAGTAATGAGAAAAAACAGGTCTTCCCCAGCCAGGACACAAATGGATTTCTCCTGTTACAGGAACTCTTTTGTGCCCAGGTGAGTGCATCAAAGTGCTCCTGCCTTCCTTACACCAACGAGGCTGTCTCCCAGTCTGAGCTCTCGTGCTTCCCCTAAAGGAGACCCATCACTGGAGCCTCTTCCACACGGATGACACGAAGAGCTTCTCTCCCCGGTGAGTTTTCACATGGCTCCGAAGGGATGAATGGTCACTGAAGGCTTTCCCACAGGCCAGGCATTCGTAGGGCTTCTCCCCAGTGTGTATCCTTCTGTGCACATTAAGGTTGGAGCCGATGCTGAAGGCTTTCCCGCAATGATCGCACTCGTACGGCTTCTCTCCTGTGTGACTTCTCATGTGTGTCTTGAGGGTCGACTGGTTTCTGAAGGCTTTCCCACACTGCCTACATTCAACACGTTTCTTTACCAGATGAATGCTCATGTGCCTCCTCCGGGATAAATAGTCCCCAAACACTTTCCCACAGGCGGCACATTCATAGCGTCTCTCTTGAGTGTGGATTTTCCTGTGTGTGGTCAGGTTTGAGCTCGCACTGAAGGCTTTCCCACACAGATCACACCCATAGGGTTTCTCTCCAGTGTGAGAATTCATGTGTGTCTTAAGGATGGATTGGTTCCGGAACGCTTTCCCACACTGTCTACATTCAATGGGTTTTTTTACAATATGAATTCTCATGTGTTTTCTCCGTGACAAGAGATCACCAAAGGATTTCCCACATTCTTTACATTCGTATGTTTTCTCTACCATGTGGTTCTTCTTGTGCAAGTTGAAGTTCGACTTCCATCGGAAGGCTTTTCCACACTGTGTGCATTCATAGGGTTTCTCTCCGGTGTGATTGCGGACATGCTCTTTGAGATGGGAGGGATGCTGGAACGCCTTCCCACAGTCGTGGCATGCGTAGGGTCTCTCTCCGGTGTGTGTTCGTTTGTGTGCAATGAGGTGGCAGCTCCTGCCATACGCCTTCCCACACTCGTCACACTTGTAAGGTCTCTCCCCAGTGTGAACTCTCATATGTATCTTCAGTGAGGAGAGGGTTCGGAAGGCATTTCCACACTGACTGCAGTCAAAGGGCTTCTCTGTGAGGTGAGTTCTTGCGTGACTCCTGAGGGCGGAGGGATCGTTGAAGGCTTTCCCACAGGCACTGCATTCGTAGGGCTTCTCCCCTGTGTGTATTCTCCTGTGCCGCGTAAGGGACGCGCTCGTGGTGAAAGCTTTTTGGCACTGGTGACATTCATGCATTTTCCTCCCATTGTAAATGCTCACATGTTGGGCGAGATGTGACCTGTTCTTGAAAGCTGCCCCACAGTCCCGGCGGTGATAGGGCCTCTTGCCAGCGTGCCTTCCCATCTGCTGAGTAAGATGAGTGCCCATGCTGAAGACTTCAAACAGGTGAGTGTACTCGGTGGATTTCTCTCCGAGACGTGTTCTTTCCTGTTAAGAGAGGAGCGCTGACTAAGGCATTTCCCACAACTCATCACATACCTACAAATCATCTACAGTAATCCCCACACGAATTACCGGAAGTAGAAGCACATCACTGTGACGAATGACGTCATGATGTGCAGTGCCAAAACCCTGCTCCTGCCCCATCTGGGCTCTAACAAATAAAAAGGTGGACGCCATCCCCTAAGGCTCCATGGCTGTAACTTCCCCAAAGCTTTTTGCATATGTACCTTGTTAACTGTTTAAATCTGAATTGAGCCCCAACACTCACTAGCTGAGGCACAGTTACAGAAAGATTTGGTTGCCACAACTCTTAAGTTAAGAAATTGAGGCTCGGTTTACAGTTTTCCCCCCAAAGCTGTGATATTCAGTGTCTGAAACAGCTGCCTCTCAGGGAAGGCCACTCGCTTGGTTCTTGAGCTGCTTTTCTGAGACTGCCCCTGTCTCCTCCCAGCATGGGAGACCTGGGATTATCCCAAGGAACTCTTACCACTGTCACACCACTGGATGTTTCCTTCCCAAAAATGCCTTCCATGAGAATGGACCATTTGCTTTTAGATGGAGTCTCCCAATCTGAAACAAATTGGTAAAATATTAACCTGAGGAGAGAAATATTAGCTGGAGAAAGATGGTGAGATGGTAGTGACAAAGATGGGGTGGTGTGTGGGGTGGAGAGGAGGAAATTTCTTTGCGATACTAACCCTAAAGAAGGAAAGGTGATGTTAAAGGGGAGAAACACACATGTAGGTTAAAATGTCCGTGAACTGTGGCTGTGTGAGGCATCTGGCAGTGACAGGGGAGACGTTTAACTTGATTCACTAAGGAATAAATTCTTCGAAGACTGACACTGATAACAACAGAAACAGTATGCCCAGGAATGCTGAGTGGAATGAAAGGATGGCACAGAGTTCATGTGGACATGTTGGATTTAAAGAGGACATCAAGCAATTCTGCTTCTGGGTATATATTCAAGGGAAACAAAAACACTACCTTGAAAAGATAGCCACACACCCCCCATTCACAGTGGCATTATTTATAATAGCCAAGGCAATGGAAGCAATCTAAGAGTCCCTCGAGAGATGAACGGATAAAGAAAATGTGGTATATACACACAATGGGGTATTATTCGGCCATAAGAAAGGGACTCTTCCCATTTTAGACAAGGAGAGAGGGCACAATGCTAAGTGAGATAAGACAGAGGAAAACATACCATAGCTCACTGAAGTGTGGAATCTAAAAACAAAAACCAAACCACCCCCCCCAAAAAAAAAACAGAACAACTGAGCTCGTGGATACAGACTGGTGGTGGTTGTCAGAGGTGGTGGGTGGACAAATGGGTGTGAAGGAGGTCAAAATGTACACAGAAGGTACAAACTCCCAGTTACGAAATAAGTTCAGTCCTGGGGATGTAACGCACAGCATGGTGACTACAGTTAATGATACTCTAATGCACTGAAAGCTGCTAATAAGACAGTAAGTCTTAAAAGTTCTCATCACAAGGAAAAAACATTTTTCTAACTGTGTGGTAATGGATGTTAATGAGATTTACTGTGGTGATCATTTTGCAATAGATACAAATACTAAATCATTATGTTGTACACCTGAAACTAACAGTGTCATGTCAGTTTATCTCAACAAAAACTAAGTAGATAGACAAAGGCAACAGAAGAACAAATACACACACACACACGCACACAGGAGAGGACATTGGGACCAAAGGACTTGCGAGAGAACAGAGAAGGCTCATTCTCAATTTCCCTGGGTGACATTTCCGAATGGATCTCCCTCCATCCCATCACTGAATACGGCAGGTACCCAGAAGTGCCTGAGTCTGCCTGGTGCTTACCGGGAGATGTGGCTTGGTGAAGTGCCCTCTCCTCTGTCCTCAGCTCCTCTTCTTGCTCCAAGTGGGAGATGAGGCTGGGTTTGCCCACCTGATACCCTACTCACGGGGAAAGACACATGTTGAGGGAGGATCGTGCAGAGGACAACCCCTTCCGTTAGGCTGGGGTCAATGTTTTGGTCTTCAGTGTTCTGAAGATGGACAAGTCTGACTTAGGAGCAGCAAAATGATGGTGCCAAATTTCTAAGGAACACAGCGAAAGACTTTCATAAAACACAAAACCACAAAGACCCACACGCTTCGCCCTTCAAAGGAATGAGGATTTCTTAACTCAGAAACCTATGCCCAAACTCAGAAACACGTGACAATGTCCAAGGTCAAGGCATTGAACAGGTCTCAACAACCACTAGGAGACACTGTGAGCGGGGCACCAGGTTGGCTTGGTCACAATTACGTTCCAAAACCCCACAGTCCCTGGGTCACAGCAAGTACTCAAAACAAAAACATCTGATACTCAAATAGAAAAATGATTCCAGCCTTACCCACTGAGGCGAGGTTGCTGTAGTTCTCCAACATCACATCTTTGTACAGTTTTCTCTGAGAAGAATCCAGCAAAGGCCACTCCTTCTCAGTGAAGTCCACAGCAACATCCTGGAAAGTCACTGACTCCTGAATCACCACACACATTTGGGGTCAGTAAGAAACCAGCCTATCCGTGTTCACAGAAAGATGGCTGGGGCGGAAGCCTGGGCACTAGACTCCAAACACAGGATTTTCAGATGGGGTTCTGGGGTCTCAAATGTGTTCCAGAAGCCAGTCCTCAAGGCTCTTCACTATGAGGTGATCCCATCTCTTCAAATTCAAACTCTGCTAACACAGGACCAAAGCTCTCTAGCTTTGAGCTGAGCATTCTGAGCTCTGTTATGAGAGAAGCACCTGCGACACAAGTTCATTTCCCCTAACCGTGTCCCTGATACCAGGAGAGCCTTACAACAGTCTCTGGCTTTTTCTCCTGTGCCCTGTTCAGGCACTGATCGGCCTAGGGGAGGCTCTCAAAGAACTCTAACAAGTGGTGCTGAGGGCATTCTAGGGAAGTGCCTCTCCCACCCCCAGGGGCCCAGAGATCTCATACCTGAGAACCAACACCTGCCAGCATAGGGGGTTCTAGGCCACTGCAAGCAAACAGGTCCACATCCTGAGAACAGGAATGGTCTTTTGAAGAAGGAGAAACTTCTGACTCCTGGATATAGGCAGGGTCCTGGGTAGACACAGCTGGAGAAGAGCAGATCCATGAGGATTAGAGCCTGCCCGACACTCAGAGATCAGGAAAATGCCCCACACCCACTGTAAGTGTGCAGTGCCTATCCCTGTTTCTCTTTCACACATGCAACGTCTTGTAACGAGCCAGAGCAGCCCTGCTCCACTCATGGACGGAAAAAGGACGGTGGGCTTTCATACCCACAAAGTGACATATGTTCTCAATCAATGAGTGAAGAAATTAAAGCTCTAAGAGGCAGACCTGTCACTCTGCTCAGATTTATCACAATAATAAATGGATAAAAAAAATAATAGGGGCACCTGGCCGACTCAGTTGGTGGAAGCTGCAACTCTTGATCTCAGGATTGTGAGTTTGAACCCCACGCTGGGTGAAGAAATTACTTAAAAATGAAACCTTTAATAATGGTAATAATAAAAACTAACAGAGAGTTACCCATTACAGTTCTTCCTTATATACCAACCACACACAATCCCTACTTCACCCAAATTCACAAAGACCCCAAATCAGACAGTCACTGGGAGGCTACCAAGACTTTGCTCCCACCTCTTTCCAGTTGCTCCATCCTCTCTGGCAGCCCTCCCTCTGGCCATGCACACCCTTGACCTCCGTGAAGTCCAGGGGCCACTTAATAAGCTGGACTTCTGAGGGCATCCATTCATCACCCCAAGAACTTACCACATGTGGGAGACAGACCAAGAGCTGCCATCCCGTGAGAATGAAGTCGATTTGTCCGAACAACAGGGCACTGGCAGCAGGAAGCTGTCACGGGACTCCTGGAGCAGGCATCTGTAGTGAATGAGAAAAGGACTAGCAGCAGCAGTCCTGCCTCTCGGGCTCACAGGAGAATTCTGACTTCTGCTTTCCTGCATCTCCTCTTTGGAGCAGCAAGTTCTATCTTGGGCCCTGTCACGGGCCTTTGTCTTCCCAGGAAATCCTCCAGGCAATGTGGGGAAGGTCCCTGATGCGCCTCAAGTAAGATTCAGATCCATTATCCCAGGTAACCTGTCCCCAAACACAACTTGTCTGACTCTCTTACTCGATAAACACTTGGGCTGCAGACTTCTCTTCTTCCTTCCAACTTTAAGGCTCACCATGACTTAGGATGGTTCTAGTAGCCACGAGGATGGTCCACTTAGAACCACGTGTTCCAATCTCCAGTGCCTTTTGGCCGCACACTCCACACCAACACATACACCTTGGCCACAGACCAGCCCTTGTCATCACTGGAATCAGCTTCACCTTGCAGATAATGATTCAGAAATCTTGCTCTCTACAAAATCTCCTCTGTAACACTTCACACAAACTCTCCCACTTGAGAGAGGATTCCAGGCCACCCATGCTGTTACCATCTTGCTCCCTAACAGAAAATTCATTTTTTCACCACCCCACCTACCCAGCTGGAAGTCATTATGGATCTATAACATCTACTACTCTCTGCGCATTATAACACCTACTGACCAAAAGAGCGGCCTTGGATGGCTCCAACCATTTACCTCCTCTCTTGAAGGTACCTGGCAAGACCACTCTGCACACAACCCCTAACCTTCAGCTGCGAAAGGAGCACCTACATTCGAGAAAAGCATACTATGAAACCTGACCTTCCAATCTCCCCAAAACCATGTACAAATCTTGCCAGTTTTTCCTGAATCAAAAACTGTTTTACCATTATTCTTACTTTTACCAAATAATCTTATTTGCATTTCACAGTAATCTCAACTAAAAAAACATACCTCAGCAAAAGAACTGGAAAATGAAACTTTAAAAAAAAAGCCATTTATGATAGCCTAAGACATATAAAATATCTAGGAATAAGTTAGAAGCTGTGTAAGACCTTGACAACAAAAAATGTGAAACATTGCTGAAAAAAAATTAAAGACCTAAATAATATCCCCTAGGCAGGGATATCACTTTCAGAGACTACAAGAATCATTATTATTAAGGTAGCATTTATTCTCCCTGAATTCACCTGCCAATACAATGCAATCCCTATCAAAATCCCAGCAGGCTTTTTCTCTAGAAGTTTCAAGCCAAATCTAAAATGTACACCACGGGTGCCTGGATGGATCAGTTGGTTAAGCATCCAACTCTTGGTTTCAATTCAGGTCTTGATCTCAGGGTCGTGAGTTCAAGCCCTGCATTGAAAAAAAAAAAAAAGATAAAAAATAAATAAATAAAATGTATAACAAAATGCAAAAGATCTAGAGGAGCCGGAACAATGTTAAGAAAGAAAAACAAATTTGGAGGATTCACACTACTAAGTTCACCACAGTAATGAAGAGTTACTGGAATAAGTAACAAATAGGTCAATGGAATAGAACAGAGTTAGAAACAAACCTACATGTGCACAAATTATATTCAGTAAGAGAACAAAGAGATTCAGTAGGGAAAGCAGTCTTCTTAATAAATGAAGAATAAACTGAAAGAACTCAATGGGTAAAAAGGAACTGCATTTTCTATTATCACTGCATAAGCAAAAATTTAAATTAAAAACTTTTGAAATCAATCAGAAAACAAAAAATAAAACCCACAGAAAATATTTTAACCATCTCTACTTACACAACTGTATTTTAGACTAGATACAAGTAGAATATTTTAAAAATATCAATAAATCGACTTTCCCCAAATTGAACACCTTTAGTCAAATAACATCAAGAAAATGAAGTCTAGCATAAAACACATAGATCAATGCAACAAAAATGAGACCAGAAGTCACACATACAGTCAATTACTTTATGACAAAAAAATCTAATAATATACAATGACAGTCACTTTAATAAATAATGTTGGCACAAGTACATGGCCACATGCAAAAGAAGGAATCTGGATCACTATCTTACACCACACACAAAAGTTAACTCAAAATGGATTAAAGACATGAATGAATATAAGACCTGAAACCACAAAACTCCTAAAAGGAAACCTAAGCAGTAAGCTTCTTGACATTGGTCTCAGCAATTATTTTTTGACTTGAAACCAAAAGCAAAGGAAACAAAAGCAAAAATAAGTGGGACTACACCAAACTAAAAAGCTTCTGAACAGTAAAGGAAACCATCAACAAAATGAAAAGGCAACCTACCTAACAGAAAAAAATATTTGCAATATCTGATAAGGAGTTAATGTCCAAATATATAAAAGACTCATACAACTCAACAGCAAAAAACCAATCCAATAAAAAAATGAGCAGAGGATCTGAAGAGACATTTTCCCAAAAAAGAAATACAGATGGCCAACAGAACCCGAGAAGATGCTCAACATCACTGAACATTAGGGAAAAGAAAGTCAAACCACAATGAGATAGCACCTCACACCTGTTAGAATGACTATTATCAAAAAAGACAAGAAAATGGGGTGCCTGGCTGGCTTAGTCAATAGAGCACACAACTCTTTTTTTTTTTTTTTTTAGAGCACACAACTCTTGATCTTGGGGTTGTGAGTTTAAACCCCACACTGAGTGTAGAGATTACTCAAAAAAGAAATTAAAAATTAAAAAAAAAAAAAAAAAAGGAAGACAAGAGGGGCACCTGGGTGGCTCAGTAGGTTAGGTGTCTATTGATTTCAGCTCATATCCTGATCTCAGGAATGTGAGATCGAGCCTGCTTGGGGTTCTCTTTCCTTCTCCCTCTGCCCCTCCCCCCACTAGCACTCGTGCTCTCTCTCTAAAATAAATAAGATCTTAAAAAAAAGACAAGATATAACAAGTGTTAGCGAGGATGTGGAAGAAAGGGAACCTTATGCACTGTTGGTGGGAATGTAAATTGGCACAACCACTATGGTAAACAGAACAGAGGTTCCTCAAAAAATTAAAACAGAACTACCATATGATCCAGCAATTCCACTTGTGGGTATTTACCTGAATGAAACAGTAATTTGGAAAATACATCTGCAGCCCTATGTTCATTGCAGCATTATTTACAATAGCCAAGATATGGAAACAACCAAAGTGTCCACCGATGGATTAACAGGCAAAGAAAATGCACATGCACCTGAATATTGCTCAACCATTAAAAAAATGAAATCTAGCCACTTGCCACATGGATACACTTTGAGGGCATTGTGCAAAGTGAAATAAGCAGTCTTATAATAAGTGGACAGAGAAAGAGATAAATATTATATGTTTTTACTTCTATGTGGAATCTGTAAGAAAAACCAGAAAACAAGATTGTGGATAAGAGAACAGATTGGTGATTTCCTGAGGCAGGGGGTGCGTTAAATGGGTGAAGGGGGTTAAAAGGTACAAATTTCCAGTTATAAAATGAGTAAGTCATTGGGATATAATGTACAGCATGGTGACTACAGTTAAAAATATTGTAGTGCATATTTAAAAGTAGGTAGGGCAGGGTACAACATAGGGAATAATATAGCCCAAGGTATTGTAATAACATTGCACGGTGATAAATGGTAGCTACACTTGTGGTGAGCACAGCATGAAGTTTTTACACCTGAAACTACTGTAACACTGTGAGTTAACTATACTTGTTTAAGAAAACTGAGAGGAGGGCGCCTGGGTGGTTCAGATGGTTAAGCGTCTGCCTTCGGCTCAGGTCACGATCCCAGAGTCCTGGGATCGAGTCCCACATCGGGCTCCCTGCTCCTTGGGAGCCTGCTTCTCCCTCTGCCTCTCTCTCTCTCTCATGAATAAATAAATAAATAAATAAATCTTTAAAAAAAAAAAAGAAAAGAAAACTGAGGGGAAATCCACTAGGAGAGTGGATCTTGAAAGTTCTCATCACAAGGTAAAAAAATCTGTAACTACGTACAGTGATGATATTAACTATACACTTACTGTAGTGATCAACTTTGCACACTTTGCAATACATACAAATATTGAATCATTACACTATACACCTGAAACTAATTGATATAACATAATGCTATATCAATTATACCTCAATTCAAAAAAAAAAAAAAATGAACAGGCAAGCCACAGATTGAGAAAAAATATTTGGAGTACATATACTTAACAAAGAGCTCATATTCAAAGTACATAAAGAACTCTTACCAAAAACAAAACAAAAACAAAAACAACTCAACAAAAAAGGCTAAAGACACTTCACAAAATATAATGAATGACCAATATAATAAGTTTGTCAGAAGGTACTCAACATCATTAGTCAACAGATGAATGCAAAACAAAACTGAAGATACTGGATTTCAACCCAGTAGAGTGGCCAAAATAAAAGACTACCAACATCAAATGTTGGCAAGTATGGATGGCTGCGGTTTTAACAGTTCAACTACCATGGACAACAGTGTGCCAGTTTCTTAAAAGTACACTTACCATTTGACTCAGCCATTCCACCCATCGAATTTACCCAAGAGAAATTTTTAAAAACATGTTACAAAGACTCATACAAAAATGTTCATAACAATCTGATTTCATAATAACCCCAAACTGTAAACAATCTAAATATCCATCAACAGAATGGATAAACAAATGGTGGTGTGTACAATGGAATACTACTGAAGAATAAAAACTACTGAAACACACAACACGGTTGAATGTCTACAATGTTGATCAACAGAAACCAGACACAAAAAATGTTCTGATTCCAGTTATATGACATCCACAAAATAGCAAACTTATTTAGGTTAGCAAAACTTGTTTATTTCGGTCAATAGAAGTAAAAAAGTGGCTGTCTCAGTGGAAGAGTATGAGATGAAGAGACTGAGAAGAGGAACTTTCTAGAGCAACTAAAATATTCTTCATATTTTTATTTATTTTTTTAAGTTAGCGGTTACACAATGTACACAACTGTCAAAAAAATTCATCAACCTGGATCTAAGAT